CGCACACATTCACTTATTTATTCCGAGATTATAAGTTCAACGAGTTATCACGCTACCGCAAGTTTATCATATCGAACGCATCGGCATACACCCTAGAACTTATTCACTTTCTTTGTATCTTGAATGAAAAGGAATTAAGATAGATTAGGATGGAGGGCTAGACAAATTGCTATGTCTTGGAAAAGTCTGTTAGTAAACCATCTTATTTCTACGTATGCGAATTATCAGATTTCTTAGCCGCCCCGTATTTAATAAATTGACTATGTAAATGATTACTGAAATATTGCTTTATCTATAAACAGTTCCCGTTAGCTCTACCCTTACTTCTAAATAACTTTCTTCATTTAGCCATATGATATAGCATCTATGTACTAGTATTACTTGAAAATAGTGTGCGTAAGAACTATAATACTCCAACGTGCCCAGACCCAGGTGCACAGTGTATATATTTGATACTGGTTAGTGCTTTAGGGAAAATCTGCATTCATACTTCGTGGTTAATTTCACTAGCGTCACATTCAAGTAAATAAGCGGATGCTTTTGTTGTTCTGATTGGGTCGTCCTAATTACTTGCTCTTGCCCACTTCGTAATTTTGGGCTTAGGCGCTCGGCAGACGGTAAATGCAGCTGTAACAAACGCAGCGCCCACAGGCGAACTTGCTACACCCAGATCATCCGTATGTGAGTGTACGTGACCTACCGCACCAATATAATTAATAGCATTGCATGGACAACTAACTGTCGAACGCCATATGTTGCGCGTCGTGTTTTGTTGTTATCGTTGTAACAAATCATTTAGAAAAAGAAAGCGACACCAAAAATGAAAAAGCGATTGGGTGGCAGCGGAAGACGGAAGGCCGCTTAAAGATACGCAGCCGACAGACACTACGTTCTCTCGAGTGGATTTCTTGGCACCGATAGACAAGATAGCCACTACTCTAGATTCAGAGTCACGATGCTACAGTGAGAGAAAAGCCTTTATAAGTATATCGAACTTGTCGCCAACGGTCAGCAACTCGCAGGCGCAGCTTGCACGTATGCGCGTAAAATCGTCCTTTTCCCCTCGTGTACTTCGATGAAGCCCCATGCAGTAACAGAGCAAACGAAGGATTAAAAATAAGTACATGGCTACGACTTGGCCGGGGCAGATGGCGACAATTCTCGCAAGTCATGGGAACACCATAGAAAACACCATTTACTCTACTTATTCATGTATTTAATATTGGTTTATGTGTACATAGGACATCCGATCGATGAGTATTGGAAAATTTCTGTAGGGTTTGCTGTTGCAACAGATAAGTTAGATTATGATAAACTTTTGTAGCAATTTACGTCCTGGAGTTTGCAAATTGTGGCCTGTGGATGCTACTAGCGATGGCTAAAATCTATGTCGATTCATAGGTATTGTCGAAGACGTCAACGAAATATCATATAATAAAAACAAATACTAAATGCTACCGAAACGATACTTCGCTTCCAATTTGTACCTCAAGGTATAGCAGTCGAAAAATAACAACACAGATTTCGAATCTGGAATACGTTTGACTACCGTACGATAAGTTCGGTTGTTGCGCTGACCGCCGCAGGGTACATCCTACTTAACTGTCCTAAGAAAGCAAACAAAGGGTTAGTTTAGGACTGAATCGTTTAGGCTTTTTAACAATTATATTCAGTATAGGTTATCGATTATATAAAAATATAATTCTGAGTATGCATCACATATTTCACTGGCGGCCGCAACGCCTGGACCGCAAGCGTAGCATAGTTAAATCGCGATTAAGCTATAAAAGGATTTACCTGTACCTACCAATAACTATTAATCCAACCCAGTTATTCAGCCTTATCAACTACAAAAATGAGGTAAATGAGGTCATTTGTTATATGCATATATATAGAGGTTGCGACATTTATAAGATTCGCTTGCTCTAATTACCATACACAGAGAGTCTATGAAGGAGCTTTGTTTAGTATTTTGAGCATAGAACAACAATCTTTGTCCAGAAGGTAACGGTAAGATTGACATTTTTTTTGTTGAGGGTAAATCGAGGAGCTGGCTCGACACCGCAGTTTTCCCACAAAGATAATGGCTAATTAATTCACAAAACAATCACACAAACAAACGACCCGCTCTGAATATTGAGCAGACCGCGTGATCGTGACATCGTTTTATATTGAGAACCTGATACGTGCACCTGATAGCTTATATGCACACGAAGTACATTGCATGTTCTATTTTTTCAAATAAAGACCAGGCCAAGATTCTTAACGCTGCTAAATCATTTCGGGAAAATAGGCCCGATCACTTATCGTTGTTGAGTTTTCTAGAGGCTAAGCAAACGTCAAAAACCTCCTACGACTTTTCCGTAGTTTAATTTGTACATGGCTTTTTTAAATATTTTTTTTTTTCCATGACTAGCCTTAGATTTGTCCCTTGCTTAAGTGGTATTCTGTTTCATCATGTCTATTGCACAGATAGATATCCATACTCGATTATATTCTACTATAGCAGTTGCTGGTAAAAGTTACATGTTTTTGTGGCCAGGCACTAGATCGAGCTGTAACTTTTCCTTCAATAGTTATTATACCATTCGATTTGTGACCATGCATACGCGTATAATAAACACATCTTCGCAAGGCACTTTTTAAAGGGTTCTTTTTTCTATGACAACTCGTATCTACGGCGATTTTTCTCAGTATGTGTTTTACACAAATGACAACACAAAGCAGGCTTCATTGATTGTATATAACCAGACATAAATCTGAGTAAGCGACTTTATATCATTTTATTTATGTTAGCTAGAAAGTTCTTATGTACAAGTATCTATCTTTAAGAATTTTACCATCATTTTGTTGCTATTTAATTCTATGTCCCACAATAATACAGTCCGACAGAAAAGTCGGCACCTGCTGCTGTTCTTGACAGGCGCGCCATCGAACGTTTGCCAACAACAGCCTTCCAATTTAAGCTAGCCAAAGGTTAGCTCCTGAACAAATATATAGAAAGAGCCCTTAACACATCGAATATGGCCGGATGAGAAGCAATCCTTCGGTATATTTTCGTATACCCAAGGTACGGCCTCGGATGTGTATCAGGAAGTGGCCCGCCTTCCACCACTGCGAACAGCACGGGTACGATAACACATTAGCCTTATTGTGCTCATTAGAATTTTACAAGATTTAACCTATTAGGGCTTGAATTACTCGCCAGAACTACATTCTGAAAACGATCTATGGCAGCCCTTCATGGAAACCGCTCGACCGCGTAGTATCTGCCATTGGTACATCGCTGGTTGCTATTCAAATTTCGTGGGGACATCATTACCAAAGGAATGCCTAATAATCATAGATTCTAGCCATCCTGCGATGGCTGAAATCTAGCAGTTGGAAGTATCACTAGCAACTAAGTCGGCTTCCCAGGCTATTAAGTATACAACAAAACGGAGATCATATCTGTCGGTTTAACAACGCATTAAAAATGCACTCGTTATTTATTTGTATTATAGCAATAATCATACAAGTGAAGATCTAGGCGGGATCTGGCAGGGACCTAATAGACAAAATCAAACGCGGAGGCTCCAGCCCTCTCAAAGGGTGGGTCAAAAGGGCTCATAAACGGCTTTACTGTCTCAGACCTGGACCAAATTTACAAACACTGCTGGTCAATATATGTCTACCTTGCGCAGAAGCACATACCGATTTGAACTGATAAGCATAATGGCGTACTAAATGGGATATATAGAAGTAGCCGACATTGCCTTTCTCCAGTAATATCTCGCATTTACCTCATTTCTTCGATAGGTAGACATGGCTGCGTTCAAATAAGTTTACTCTCATTAACTCGTTGCAGAAGGTCCGGCTTCGGACACCTTCTTACTGTTGCTACCGCCCCTCGGTATCTCTCTGCTCATCGTACGTTTTTGAGGTGAGCGAATGCTTTTGTACCTACCGCTGATCCTCATTAATTAGCTTGAGGTGTTACATCGGAGCCCCTCCGCAGCCATACGAAGTCTATTAAAAATACCGATATTAGATTCGGCAGCACATTTTTTCGGCGAGTTGCATTTCTTTCGTCGTAAAGGGAATGATTGACTCTTTTTACCTCGAGGAATTCGGCCGAAAATAGGTTGTCTAGTCACCTGAACGATAGAAAATATTGAGGAGTGAAGGTGCAACCCCAACTTCAGCTTGCTTGCCGTAACGTAATCACTCTAATAATATTACTAGATTTTGCAAAGGGTACGTTTCCTACCTTTCACGTGTTTCCTACCTTTAACAAAAGAAGAGATTAGTGCGGTTGACATTTATACTCCAAAGCTACCTTGCGTGCTCCGCACAGAGGTATTTTGCACACATACATAGTACAAGCATATGGAACGAAGAGTACTAATCATGTATTCTAACCGCGACAATGGGGTAATACTTTTTTGAGATAGGTTTCAAGCTGATGAATCTCGTAATTTGTTCAAATTGGCCTGCGTAGCTTATCGAAGGAGTGAACCTTCGTAGCGCTTATATGTAATGCATTGAAGCGCCAGGCCTAGAAGATTCCGAATCATAGATATTGCTTTTCATATTATTCTTTAGAACAGGCTTCTCGATGAGCAACTCAGAGTGGATATTACGATAGTATCAACCGCGTATCCAGTTATATTTCTACCTTGATGCTAATACGTTAGGTCCTTCTTCCGTTTCGGACGAAACCTATAATCGTAATTAAGGTGTGAGCATTGGCTATTTATGTAATACTTTCGTCTGAACTGATAGCACTCGTCACCATCGGTGGTTGTTCAGGTACATGATGGCTGCGTCAATTTCAGAAACGAATTTTTTTCAACATTGACGCAGAGAGAGGCGCAACGTTTTCCCTTAGCCAGCCGACAGAAAGTAGGCCCATTCGACTGCTCGGACTCTTTGATGCGCCGTTGGATAACATAGAGAAGATCATAATTTCACCTTGATATTAAATATGCCCAAACGAGTGATTTAGCGTACGCCGACAATCGGCACCTCGTTGTCTTAGTGACCGACAAACATTACCACAAAAATAAGAGTCTAGTAGAGGATTTGTTTTACATAACAATGTATTTATAAAGTCTATGGGTGCAGTACCAGGAATTGCTAACGCAAATATTCACAGGAATTATACATGGAACATTTTTGTAATGAGAAGACAACGTCAGACTAAGAAGAGCACGTTCGCGTTCGCAGCTCACGGTGACGCGTCAGTACGAACTTTGAATGGTTGTCCTTTTGCGTCGCCGTCGTCGTTTCCTTTCCAGCTTTTAGATAGCTGATTGGCGAGAAGTCAACAAACGTACATTAAAAGCTAGTCGAGACACTGGTAAGCTGGCCTATAAATAGGTGTCTTGCACATAAATTAGCGATAACATAATTCTACACGTGCAGCTGGCTTGTGCTTGTCTGCAAATATGAAGATTTCAAGATAAATTTTTTTTCTTCGCCCCGTGACCGCAGTAAGCTTGGAAACTAGCTAAGTATGAGATCGGTGTTTGTTGGCCTATTCATTCCAAGAAGATCTATCATTAGCATTTCTGCACAGGTACAGTATGCGGTAGATTGTAAGACTGTTATACATTTGTCGTTCTGGATTTCGTGAGCGATCATATCTTGTAATTCACACAGTCTTATCCCAGGTCACGCGATGTCCATATCTTCTTTAAATGAAACGTCCATTTTAAGGATGCGTGTAGACCATAGCGTGGATAGACCACTCAATATTGTCTGTAATAAAAGTTCGAAAAAACTGACCAGGATTGGCCTTCTCGAGACTGATACCAATCCATTTACTTTATGCGCTATTGGGAAAATGTATTACTTCTAACAGAGAGAACGTCAATTGTAATGGAACGCTAAAGAAACTGCTGATGCTGGCATCGATCCCTGCGCTACATATCTACATACATTGTATGAAATTGCGACCATCTTTGCTGCTACCGTTGTTTCTGTTAGTCTTACCCTCAGCACCTGTTCCCATTGCATACGGTATTTTCGTGCCGCTGTTTTGACATTACCCCTTTAATCGTCGACGGTTAAATTCTACGCAGAAACGCTTGGACGAACGCATGTTTCGGTTACCTGTCAACGAAATGTTCTTCTTCACTGAAGAATCTGCAGCGATTGTTACCGACGTTATACGACGAGCGGTTGTTGTTGTTGTCGTCGTCATCGTGGTATCTGTCTTCTTCCAGATGATCGTGTCCATCGTAAATTTCAAAGCGAAGTGCCGTTCATCGCTCACTTGCGCCATTCCGTCTGTAAATGATTCAGCAATAGTAGTCTAACCAATCCATCGATTCATTGAAATACACTCATGTTACTATGGCGTGTTTCTTTTCTCCATTCATGCGAGCGTCCATTCTCGCACCGATGCCGGGTCTTGTTTATTGTACGAGCTACGCCACACAACGCGTATCTGTAGGAGGTGGAATTTACTAACAGTTATGATTGAGTCGGCATTGACTCCAGCTGCGTTGAAAGCATCGTTCGACGACAGTAACAAGAACGCAGCTTGTTTGCGCGTATTTTGCAGTACACGAGAGGATTGGCCGCCGCCGTTCATGTACGGACGAATACCGACTCGACTCATTTAGAACGGTCCTATCTTACCAGGAGATTTCTTATTCGATCGTCCGACCCCTGTTAGGGAATATCCTTGCTCGACTACGTCACAGTTCATCGAGCGTTCAGTTTAAACGTATACGTTCTAGCGATTTCTCAAGTTCCTTTTGTAAAGTTAAACTACATTACAAGCATTAGTAGATACTGTGAAAAAGTATTTATTGTCGAACTTACTTTTCTATAGATCTTAACATATAAACGAATGGTGATTCTTCATAAACATATGCTCATTTTCCTCGGGAAGAAAACCATGGGTAATTTTAGATTAACTAACATCCTTGCCAATAATTTCATTCGAATACATGTTCCTGTTATTACAATACGTGTGCGTGAAGTCGTCTTGCTTTCGAGACTTCTATTACGCTATATGGAGAACATCTGAAGATACCAATTGTACATACAAACAACAATAAATTATAGTGAACGAAAAGCAATTGTAACACATGAATACGTTCGTTTTACGTAAGAGGTCTAAGGTGAACTTCGAGGCTGCCAGAAGTTTAAGTCTTAATAATGTGTGCCAGTGGCACAGACAGTCTAAGACAGACGCTTACTTAATGTTATCAGCAAATAGTGTTATAGATATAAGATCATTGATGGCTGCAAAAAGGTCAGGCGGTAGCACTCCGACCAAACAGTGAGAAAGTAAGGTGATTCCGGCCTATTCCAGCGATAGTTCCATACAAGTTGTATGAAACGAAAGAAAGTGTATTATGTATAATTGCCGCAAAACTAGTATTGCACAATGTCATCCTATAACATAAATAAAAATGCCTTCCGCTAAAAGATAAACGTCTTGTATCCCAAACTACTTCTCCATAAATAGAGGAATAGGGATCGACGATGGCACGACCGTGCGACTTCAGTCGCATCTGCTACTAAATTCCCAATAATCTGGTTTAATTTATACTATGATTTAGATTTAATAGGTGTCAGTTGTTCTATCCAGTTCGGTCGTCTATAAAACCCAAGTCTAAGACGCTTGGCAGACCTGGATGTACTATATCCTACGCATATGATCGCGTCCACTATTTGTTTTACGATGTTAACCTCGACCCTGTGGCCTTAAATAGTACGCTTCTTTTACGATAGCAGGCTCCTAAGAGGAATTTGACACACTCCAACCTCTTTAAGGCTCCAGGAGTTAATGATATGCCAAAAGGTGCGTTGGCTAGCAGTATTCAGCCGCTTACATGATTCAGAGTTCAAAGGCTTGGCTGAAGGCTTGTTTTTTCAGGCATGTCAGTAATCCCAACCATTCAGACAAAAGATTATGATGGAAAATGATGCAGTTAGTAGTGGGTGTCAAATGAACGTCAAGTTAATGGTAACTGCGGTAATGATGCCTCAACACCTTCTGGTATCTCTCCTTTGGGGCGTAATTGCTCAAACTGCTAAACGTCTATAGAAGCCAAAACTCGGACATCGAGGAGACCAATCATCAATTTTTTTGTTGGAACACGTTAATTTCTACTATTGTACTTCGATAAGGGCAAAATGCATGATTAACAAAAGATGAAGCAGCGAAAAGATCAACAAATATATCTAATCGGGCATCATCGATATGGACGCGGTTGTCATCGTAGCCGAAGTATCACCAACGAGTCACGAGATCGATCAGCCGTAATTTAGGAAGAGCGCGTTGGCAACGGCTGTCGTGTAAAATATGCTATTATTATTCTTTTAAGTATAATTAAAGAGAGCTAACTTATGTCTCGTTTATGAATTGGATGTATCGGCCCATGACATAACTTACGCCGCCCGTTGCTATCGATAATACAGTCATATCATGAAATTAATAAAACTAACATGAGATCGTATATTCGACACGATAAGTTATTGTTAAGTATTATTTTTAGTTTCTGGCAATTGTATCGTTACGTATACGTATACGTCGAAAAATAAAGCTGGTAAAGTAACGCGCTGGAATACAATATTCTGTATAATAATAGATAGGTGGTATGTCTAGCTTTTTTGGCTTCAAAGCTTTCTTATCGACCCGATCCGCGGTTACAGATACGATCTTATTTCATTTACAATTTCTAAGTTTATAATCGTCATCGTTGACCATTTATTGTTTGCACACAGAGAAGGCATACGGCAATATCCAAGACGATCTGCGATTTCACCGTGCCAGTAGAATCATTATAAATCATATACAGACGATTTCACCTAAAGGCTTTACTGAACAAGGAGCTCTTAGATAAACGTAACAAATATAAAACAAGCCTTGAAATTCTTCAAATTTATATTGCTTCTTTTAGAATATCTCAATGACAGGTACGAGAATTGCCCATAATAGAATAAAATAACCGCCTCTAATAACTATGATAATGGTTCCTGATCCTCCTCAAAAATGCTTGCGGAATAATCTTCCATAATAAATCTTATATGACAATTTGAAGATTTAATTAAGAGGAACAATTTAATATCAATTTAAAAGATGCGAATACTATCGGGTTCTACGAGATTTGAGATAATTAACTCGCAAAACACATTGAAAGTGAAGAGCGAGCTGAAGGACCCCTACTGCCCGGACCGCCAAAAAGGCCGCAGGCATTGATTGTAGAAGATGGTCGAAAGTGGCCCGCCTACGAAGGCATCAAAAATGTTTTATGAAGCACTTTATATGGCTGATGGCCCATGATCGATACGGCGTTGCGGTCCAATGCAGGAGGTCAGCAGTGATAGAACTTAGTAAGCTGCACCGTCCCGTCGCTGAAGTATCCGGACGTCTCAACAGTATTGTTGCCAGTGAAGTGCGCAAGAGTGGTATGATCTAACAAGGTGAATCCAGATCGTCATCGGATTAACGCATCTTTCAGCATTGGCAACAGCACGCAAATACAGGAACGTTCTTCAGCTATGAAAAAAAAAACTAGTTAAATAATAACAGTTGACTAATTTCGAATGTTGCCATTCCCGCTAGAAAGAGCCGCCCGATGACGAATCATGACCAGGCAGGAGAACCGAATTATAAGAATAGCACTAGATTTCCTTTAGGGAAACTAAGTGATATTTAATAAAGAACTGTGTCAAAGAGCCATGCTTTTCTGATAGCTAAAAGTTAATCTTATTGTTTGCTCGTATGTCTTTGACTCTCTCTGGGCAACACACACACACACACACACATGCTGGCAACGATAATCCTTGTCCATATACCATAGGCATGAACGTACGGCACGCATATCAGCATAACGTGCATAAGGTAGCGCAACGTATACACTTCATCGTATAGTCTGAATTGGCTATTCATGTGAAACTACTGTGCAGCTTTATGCATTGGCTTAGATATGTGGTTACGTTGTGAATGCTTCCCAGTAACCTTCAGCTGCGCCTCACCTCAATTCTCTTACCCAGTTTCCTCGGAATGCGTCCTGGAAACGAGGTTGCTACTTCGCACATCGACAACAATTCATGGATCCGCTTATAGATCTTTTGAACGTCATAAGTAGCTAAAAGTATTCTCAACTCGGGGTACTTAATGCTCAGTAGAGGAAGCAGTTTCGACTCGGATCTCGTAGTAATGAGTCGACAAATATCATGCACACATAATATAACACAGTGGTTACAAAGAAAACGCTCTGAGTAACTCCGATAGTTATTTGGTAGGCTGCTATTACTGTTACGTATACGTCTGGTGTTTCAATCGGTAAATAAGAAGATCTGTTAAAAGCCTCTTTTGAGAACTAGTCCAGCAACAACTGTATCCTTCTGAAGATCCATCGATAGCGTTCCAAACGGGCTATCATATACTGCTTAATGTTCAACGTTAAGCATCAGCCTTTTACAGTAACCTTCAGTTTTGTACAATAGAAAATATATTCTTCTGCGTCTATAAGCACTTCACTAGAACAACATTGAGGAACTATTTTCACACGCGAAAATTACTTCAGATGATCTAAATCGCTCCGAAAATTCATCACATGCGTTATTTAACTAATTGCAAGTATCCCACGTCTCTTCGAAGTTTCGACCAAATTGCTACGCTTCCTCCAATGATGAGATCTATGTTTTCTGTCAGCGCACAAATCAAGCGTACGATTATTCGTATATTCCATGTGATCATATAATATAGAAATGTATTCAAATGGCTTTTGTGTTTCTTTTACATTACCGGCCGCTTGATTTATTTACGACCCCTTGAAGACGGGTTTTTATAGCGTATTGGATATTTTATGGGCCTGTCGTTATGTAAATTTGCTGGGCCGATCTTGTCACTCGTGCAAATGTTGCACTCGGTTGCTGTTTACTTTGTGTTTGAAACATTTTACACGTAGAGAGATAATCGTAACAAAGCAAACAGATGCACTAGTTAATCCGTTCGTATATTAGACTATAGTGGTCGAGTTGCTCGACTACCTGCATCATCTGTGGAACTCGCATTAGAGGAGCCGTTGACAACAACAAAATCGATGATTATCGAGTACCCTACCGTGAATGTCAGATAGAGCGACTGGTTAAAGTACGATGATGCCTCATACGAAGATCCCTTTTGCATTTTGAACGTTCCTCGTTTCTTTGCTAGAGTGTAGTCATCGATTATTGAAACTTACAGTTTTTTTTTTCTCTTAAAACAGCGTAGTTCTTCTTGCTTTTGTCGAAAGCAAGAGAAAGTTAGACAAGCAGTTTAA